TAGGAACTCTGTTCTCAAAGAGAATCAGAAAGGCAGCATTTGGTTCAGACAACTGATGTAGTAGTCCACACCCTGAATAATGGTCAAGTTGTCACTTTCCTTGTTGTTCTCATAAACCATTCAGTTTTATTTTGAGAGTTTACATAGGGAATTTAATTCATATTAGGGTATGACTTCAAAGTGGAAAGAAAAAAAACAAACTGTTCTTATTTAGCACTCTTTCAGGCCGTAAGTATTTATAGACAAGAACAGTAAGGTGTAACTGTTCTATAATACTCACGTAGCATCAAGCGCCGCATCATTTTGTTTGATATTGGATTATAGAGCAGAATAGTGACTTGCTTAGAAACAGATAAGATTATTAGATAGGCAGCAATTCAGGTATAAGACTGATAATCCACAGTTCTTAGCTGAAGGACCAATCCATTAAACAACAGTTTATCTGCTCAGGGCTCTAACACAGAAGAGCTTGATACAAGCTTTCACTCATCATTGTGCCTTATTTTCTCCCCAGAGTAACTCAGCAAGACTCTTCAAAGGGCTGGTTATCTGCTAACTCACAGTGGGTTCACACTGCCAACAAGGTGGCAGTGGGAAAACCCAACCTCTATAGGAACAATCCTGTGGTACCATGTCTGTTGTTGTTGCCTTGCCCGTGAGTGAGTGATAAGCCTCCAAACCCCCATGTGGAAACCCTAAGAATTTAAAGTTTCGTTTGTATTTCTATAAAAAACTTAAGAGGGAAGAAAATAATCTAAGGAAGTCAATCCTTCAGGTACCCTGCTTCTTATAGGTTTAGATGCAAGAAATCCAGTGGAAACCTCTTAATAAACTTAGAAATACACAAATATACAAACCAGCACCCAAATACTTCAGTTTCCTGGCCAAGGAGAGGAAAAGGGGGGAGGAACAACACACCGCAAGCAGACAAAACAAAATCCACCTCACAAGTATATTGCCTGTTTTTGACACATCGATTAATATACTGCATTTCAAAAGCATGCCTTACCTCTTTCTTTCAAGAAAGCAACAATAACAAAATCCCCTGTGATTCTACATTTTCAATTGAATTTCTTCAAGGTAGAGCAATGTAAATCTTCTCTACTTGACAGTATGAATGAGTCCCTGCCACGTGATCTGAACAGCCTGAAAGACATCCTCCACTCAGGTTTCCCAACAAGGAAAATGGTCCCCTTCCCAAGACTGATATTTAGAATATAGATATTAAACGCACATAGCACCTCCTAGTGAAAGAAACAACCTCATTTTACAATGCATCAAGGCCTGTGCTTTATGGAGAGACGCAATATTGATGCAATCTTGCCTATAGTGAGATCAAGAGAAAACAATGGCACCTGTGCATTGCCTGGACCCCAAAACAAAGTCCAGACACCCTGTTATTTCCCAGCACCAACTAGAATATACAATAAACTTTACCAGGAACAAGCCACGCCATCTGTCTGCAGAGTCATCATGTCCTGCGCTCTGCACGGACAAAGTACTTTATTATCAGCCTAGATGAGCCAACGATGCATGTGATCACTAAATTAAGAAACAAGGCTCCAGTGGATTTAAAGCATGACACTAAGACGGCATATTGCCACTTTTCTTTGGCAAGAAAATAAAACAGTCATTATTAGCTAACTTTACTGAGTTAACGCCTTCATTGTTTTGAATGTAAAAATCTCTCTGTTGCATTGATCAGCTGCACGAAAGCAAGAACAATACTGGAGAAGAAGCAAGTGCTCCAAATCAAGTCACAAAAGCTTCAGAAACTATGTTTACTGCATTTCTTATCTACTTTTATTCATAAAGAAATTGCAGATGAAAAGTAAGATTATTATTTTTTTTTAATATCGGTTCTAAGATATTGCTGATTTCTGAAGTAAAAAGTAGCAATCTTCTGTGAAGTAATCATTATTTCCAAATTTAGGTAGGAGTTTCTAAAGGTGCTTCTGAAAGAATTAATTGTTCCAAGAAGGACAGCAAGCTACTGACACAAAGAAGTGAAAGGCAGAATGCATACAAAAGAAAATACATACAAAAGGGAAAAAAAAAGCAAGAGCAAATACAATTCCTGTTTTAAGAGAACGATACAAAAGCCTGAACCTTCCATTAAATAAATCCTGCAAGCAGAAAGGAAAGAATAATGAAGTCCCAAAGACAAAGATACCTTTTTTTGTACCGTATAATCATTTTCCTTAGTTCCAAGCAAATAGGGGAGACACATTTTAAACATCAACACGGTAAGATTTTCTCATCCACTTTCAGTGTATCTCAAAACCCCCCTCAGACTATATACTCTCTAACAAAATCAATCAAGTACGCAACAGTTGTACAGCAGAATCATCCTGTTCAGTTGGATGGACTCAGGTTTATAGAGACTAGAAAGTTATCCAGTCCACCCCAACATAACCTCTACGAAAAAGACCAAATTATTTTCATACTTCATTATCATTCCCCTCCAACACAAATGGTAACAGAAAACGTATATATATATTTTTCTTTTTACAGTCACTGTTTAAAAATAAAAACTATGAAATACACGAAAAACAGTTGGAGGAAATGACAACAGATCTGAACGCGTGTTCAGACAAATACTTCGATGTTTTACAAACATTAACAATATCATCATCTACAACATCAGGACAGCACACAATTTTAACTAAATTATTAAAAGAGAGCTTCAGCACCAACCTGTATTTTTAACTTGCTTCTATACACTCATATTTCTTCAAAATTGTAGCAAAGGCACATCTCACACAGTCAGCAATAAAGAAGCTGGTATGCTCTCAGCCCAGAGTACTTGAGTGCTTGCCACTTGGGGTGAGACCATGCCTCCTCACCCAGCTCACCTGAAGCTCATTAAACCATTTGGGAACATACTTCATGCCAGCAAAGTTGTTGCAGAAAAGTCGTTGCAGCCCCAGCTGGTATCACAGGTGGAGGAAGCCCCTCCAGCTGCTCTCCTGCTCCACCAACTTTCTAACATCCAAAATTTCTGTTCCTGATCTGTGTGCTGCCTTATTTGTTTCTTGGAGCCTCTGGTTCTACACCTTATTTTATGCAGAGTGGCACCTGCTACGTGGGAAAAGTACACACAATGTGCTCAGCTGGCCAAAGAAAAGTCTTGGTATTTTCTTCTTTACCCTACTTAATTTATACTGACACTTTTTTTTTTCCCCCAGGAATATTGTTTCTAAACTTTGGAAATATTAAAAAAATCAAGACTATTTATATATATATTATACATATATATATACACACACACACACGCTTCATGCAATCATGGAACAAAAATGAGATAAACTGCTTTTGCAGACAAATATTTTTCTTTGTTATAAGACATCAGCGAACTGTCTGTCCAGAGCAGATAATGTTTTACTTTCTGACAATGTTTTAATTACTGAGTGAAGGAGTATAATTGTTAATTAAAATAATAACTAACTAAAAATAATTTCTAATTCTCTTTCATTCATTTTCTGAAATTTGATATTTTAGTGAGTTTTTTCACCAATATATTTAATAGAAAAAACCTCTCAAGATGATAACTTCCTTTCTGCCCACCTCATTTCTACTTTCTGAAATGTTAAGGAGCTTGGAATACACACAGCACAGAAAACAAACTCCATTAAATATTACATCAAGTGATAGGAAAAACCAAGTCACAGAAAATAGTTATTACTTGAAATAAATGCTACTAATGACCAATTAATTTCTCTATTTAGAAAATTCTAAAGCCTAGTTTATTACCGTCTAGTAATAAACTCATATTATTAATAGTAGCTTACAAATACTATAATTTGGAACTCTGCGAGTTCCAAATTGCTAAGAGTTTTGAGCCACGCAAATGCTAATTTCTTCTCTCATGTTTATAAAAGCTTTTATTTGGCACAACAGCAAAGTACCAACTACAAAAAGCACTACTAGTATTTGTGAGATTTTTTTTTCTTGCTTGCTATTGAAGATGACAAAATTTATTTTCCTGTCTGAAGATCAAAAAGTGAGAAAAAAACATTTTTGATAACTGAGGAAAACAATTTTTCATACTGTATAGCCAGCATAGAAGTCCCACTATAAATTGAGAGAATCTCTTCTGCACTTCAGAGTTTTCCTGACATTAGGGAAAAGAACCTCTCAGCAGCTGCAGATCGAGATTTTGATCCCACTTGCAGTGGTAGAAACTCACAGCGAATCCACTGGAGTCTTTAATTCTGCTGGAATATCTTTATAGCAATGTTACAATCTGTGTTTGTTTTGGCCCAAGCCATTCCATCCACTTGTATGGCTCCCTGCCAAAGGGCTGCCTGTAGCAAACCCATCTGTGGCCAGGGAAGAATAAAGACCTTGGAGACATTTTTTAAGAGAGAAAGAAAAAGGACATAAAAAACATATCTGAAAGAAAACAAAACAAAAAACAAAAAGATAAAAACAAATAAATAACAGCCCCAAAACAACAACAAAAAAACACATCCCAAATTATAAAAAGCTTTGCCACCTGGCAAGCCACCACACCACCCTCTGAATATAACACAATCTGTATTCGGCTGCCTTCCTTTCCTACTCAGGCTTAAAAAAGATATTTTTTTTAAATCACCTCTCACAAATTAGTTGAGGAGGATAGCTTCTTAAAATATATATCCTGAGGATCAGCCTGAAATTGTAAAGGAATACTTGGCAATGCTAGGCTGATGGTTGGACTTGATGAACTCAGAGGTCTTTTCCAACCTAAATGATTTTCTGATTCTACACAGTGCTACATATTCTGACACCTGCTGTGCCACCTGCAGGAAGGTAACAGAGGGAAGGAAGGATACACCATTGCTCTGATCCAGCATGTTTTCTTGTTTAGAGGGAGAAATCAATATTATTTATATCCTAATTTTATTAATTTTTGTAGTAATGAATTTTACAGGAAAAGGAGCAATTTCAGATTAAACTGTGATCTATATTAGTTGTACGTGCACCTAAATAAATAAATAAAACACAGAAAGCCATAGTAACAGGAAACATTAAACACATTATTTCATAGGTGTTGATGGCAAGCAGACTTTCCCATATTGGAAGCGTGGAGTTTAGGAGAGTAGTTAACATGAAGTGTTAATATCTGGTTAGAGCTCAGTTTTGACTTAGGGCTATCTCCTGGAGCTTGTGTGATGTACTTGGTTCCATTTTCTGTATGAAAACCTGAACATGGGTGTGTTCAGCGAACACCTATGTTCAGTTTTTCATACAGAAATCACTGGCACCAACAGCACTTTTTTTGCATTAAACCACCCATTAATTTTTCCTACCCTGATTATACGAAGGAACGGGTGGTTCCTCAACAGTTGTACCCATCAATCCCACCCTCTTTTTCTGTCCTCTCATTCCCATCAGCAGCAGCAACTTGGGATTGGTTACTCCCTGTAAAGGCTAGGGTAACAGCAGACTTTTGAAACAAAGCCCCAAATCCATTTTCTGATCAGCAGCACTCACTACAGAGGCAATAGCAGAAAAAAAGGTTTCTGGCAGAAGCACCAGGCACTAGGAAGATGCAGGGAGGCAACAGTGCTTTTCCCATGTGTTGGAGCCATTCTTTGCATGTTAGCAGTCAGCTGTGGGATGACATAAAGAACATGTTTTGTCTATCAGCTTTTGTTTCTTCATGTATGATTATTGAAGTAATACAACAACAACAAAAACCACCAGGTTTCTGATTAAAGCTCCTTCTCATGGAAGGCACGTACTCAAATGAGAGAAGTGCAACAGGAATTCCTGGTCATGAGACCTTTTAAGATGGAGTCCTCCGTGATTTTACAGGGATCAGTAGGAATAGGAAGAAACGGAAATACACCGGTACAGACGATGCCAGGATACTAAAGGGAACTACTGCCTTTCCAACAGAATTTCCCTCTCCTCTCCCTTCATCTTTCCTTATCTTCAAGGCCTGGTTTTCCCTGTTGATTCAGAATTTTGAGATCCTAGGAACTTTGAGATAATGGAAACTTTATCAAACTAAGTATTTAATTGATTTTTACCTGCAGTATCACGTACCGTGATCTCCACACAGGGGGAATTAACAGCAGACAATTCCATTTGCTGTTCTAGTTATCTATTATATTCCTTGCTCTTCTGCTTCATTCTTTTCACAGACTATTTATTACTCTGCTCAACACACAAAGCCCTTTCCCAGCTACTTCAGAGAAAGCTAACTGAACAAATACTGTTTAAGCCCCCAGAAGTCTGGTGAAACCGTAGGTATAATGCTGGGTCTCATTATATGAAGATGAAAGGAGGAAGAACTCAGGGTTCAAATAATCAGTACCTTGAGACCAGTTCTTCCATTAAAACCTTACAGCAGCCACAGCTCCTTAATGAAACTGTTATGTGAGGAAAAAAATAATTCTAACACTCCTGATTCTGGGTGAGAATCGCAGCCATTTTAGAGTAAAAGCATCATCTCTAAGACATGATCGGATCGTGACAGGTTCCTGCACTCTCTTATGGGCCACAAACTCACTGTCAATTGCTACTCATTACAAGCATACAATCTTAATGCTTTCATCAAAAAGTCAGTCCTGGAATTTAAGATTCAAGCTAATTACATATTACGTATTTAATAATTTTTTTATTTTAACAAGAATGTTATAGTTTTACATATGCCAAAGCTGTCTGTCTTTGTGGAATGCCTTAGCAAAAGCCCGGCGTGCACCCAGGCTTATTGTACGGTTCATAAAGATTTGGAAGACGTGCCCGATTCTCTAACAAACCATTAAATCTCATTTCCATTGACGCGTTGCTATCAGATTAAAATGTGAATACAAAGTAAAAAATAAATAATATATATATATACACACAAACACACACACACATATTAAAGCCATTAAAGCTTCCTTAATAGTCAGGAATATTTCACATGAGAAAGGAACCATACAAATTACATGCACTTTTCACTTGAATTGAGTGAACTGCAGCACACTATCAGGCAAAGAGCTCCAAGATATCTCAAATAATGCCTAGGAAAAATGGCAACTGCAGTTAGTCAATTTACTTCAATTGTAATCTTAATTTTCTTCTCAGTGAAGAACATTGAAACAACTCCGTATAATTTATACTTACTTGACAGCCCAAAACATGTGGTGATCCATTTTCAAACCAGGACAGACCCTCCTGAGCAAGGGACGTTCACGTTCTTTCTTAGAAAACCAGAAAGATCCCTTGAAAACAGGATCAGTCTGCACGTTCAGACCGAGATTTCTCCACAGGCATTCTGTGTTATTTCCAAGATTTTTGGAGCTTTAAGGAGTTTATTTTTAAGGTAGAGGTGCAGCAAATAGTGCATTATTGAATTAGTGAATCGCAGAAATAGTCTTTTCAGAGCTGAACACTGAGGGAAAAAGAACTGGCTTCAACCACTTGTCTTTGATTAAAGAACTCCTAATTTGCTGAGCCAGATTTCTTTGTTTTATTACTTATTCATTATGGAATATGTAACCAATCCTAACAAGAATGTCTAGTTATATATGTTAATAAGACTATTACCTATATTGACTTAAAGATCCCACAGAAAACAGAGATTTAACAGTTCAATCTAATGTATTAAAACATGAAATTCAGAAAGAGAAAAATAGAATATTGGTGCATATAGCTATGCCATGATTTTACTTAAATACAACATGAAAAAAGAAGAAAAAATATATTCAAGTATTAAAATATTTTTAAAACTAATATCCTTAAATATTTAACAGAAAAATATATAAATGCTTTTACTCCAATTAAGAAATAAGTGTACAGTGGCTGAATAACATTACTCTCAGATACAGTTCAAGGGTTCTCAATAATGTAAGAAAACTGAATTATGCTAGCTCAAAAAATAAAAATCAGTGAGAAAACAGGGCGTAAGTCTCACTGTGTTTATCCCAGGAAAGGCAAAAAGCAGAGCTGGATGGTGTGCCCTCAACAATGGAAAAAGAGAGAGGAGGTAAAGTGGTGACTTTTGATTATGAGAGAAACCCCACTCCATCTTTTTCTTATGTAGATAGGTATTTATACGCACAAAAAGAATAAAGTAATTAACAGGTCCAATGTGAGTGTTCTTTATTTTACATTTCCTGCATACAACTCAAAAGAAAATGAATTACTTAATTTCACGTCTTAATGTGTAGTACTTATGGTTTTAATTCATCCCCTATTTTTTCTTTTGCATTCACAATACTGTTACTTTTTAAGGTTGCTCATGAATGTTGCACTTGGCAATGAATCTAGATAAAATTTACATGGAGGAGAGTAAAAATATAGTGGGGGAGGAAGAAAAGTCACCCAGTCTGGGGTCTACTAAACTTGGCAGACCTTTTCATTGCAAGAGTACAATAGAGGCATTTCATCATTTTATTAAGTGATAAGTAGATAGATTTTGACTTCAGCATGAATCCCCATTAAGAGGTCAATGTTGGCATAAAACCATACAGTATCCATCATGAAAAGTGATGGGCTTGCTGAAGATGTGGTTAAATTCAGGAATAACGTAACCATCTTCATGCACACCACATGACTCAATAGTTTTAAAGCAGTTCCATAGGCAAGGTCTTGAAGAGGTGCAGAGATAGATATCTTCAAATATTGATATGTCACACAGTAAATAGTTAGATTTATTATGAAAAACAAAATAAAATAAAATACCCCCTCCAAAAAAAATCACCTAAAAAAATATATTTTTATAGAAATAAAAATTTTCTATAGAAAACCTATTTTGAAACAGCAGATATTTATTTTGTAGATGTCACCGCTGCATATATCCTATTTGACAGCAGACAGAAGGACCAAATTCTACTCGCAATTACTTAAGAATGAGATAAACAAGAACTTGCCACCAGCAAAATGGAGCTCAATTTCAATTACGACAGTTTTCTAAGGGGTATGCAACAGTAATTCTAGTTATGTAGGTGTAGTTGTCATACCAAAATAAAAATACATTTCTAAGAATGCATTGAGAGAAAGCTGTGCTCAGTTAGTTCCAAACCTAAGCCCATGGGAGAAACAGTCAGGAGATGAAAACAGACTTTAAAAGCAGAGTTTCTTTCTGTTCCTGAAACGCATATGTTGTCTGCTTCTGGTAGCTAACACTTCAAGCAGCACTCAGCAGATTCAACTAAATTGGCTGTGAATGGGCAGAAAGATCTGTTGTACAGAAAACATTTCGCCTCACAGTTTTCTAGACTTTGAAGCAGGAACTGTTGCAGCCAGCTAATCTGAACGGGGCTCCCATGCCTCACTCCCCTACTCTTCCTCTCAAACTGGTTTTCCAACAGATCAAAGCGTTCCCAGCTTAAAGAGTTAACTTGTCTACAGTTTTTAAATGCAAATAAACAAGTACTTGGATAACTAGTATACCTAAATACAGACGATTGGCTGTTGCTAAGCAGATACCCCCACAAAAAAACAATATCCAGAATCATACAGAGTAAAAAGCCAATGGAATCAATGATGATTGTGCTCATTTACAAACATTATGACAAAAAAAAAAAATGTAATAACAAACTTGTCAGTACTCCCAATACCCCTGCACACATCTTAGTATACTTAGACACTACTTCTACTGAAATTCTTTATAAGGCAAGGCCAAAACTATTGCATGTGAAATAAAAGTCTGATGTTTACTCTTGTATGACTGTTCACTTAAAGAACACCAACTGACATAGCTGCCAAAAATACCCCCAGGAAATTAGTCTAATTGGCTTAGGTCTGAATTATTTCTGAATATTTCTAAGTTGGAATCTTTTAAATAATACTTCCACTTTTTTAGCGATTAAATAATTACCCAACACATGTATGGACCTTAAGCTTGAATATGGAGCTCAGTGCAATATTTAAATAAAAACTTTGACCTGATTGCTTTTAAGAAGTCATCATCATGCAATTAACTAAATCTTACTAATATGCATCTTGGAAATTTGTCATTGTGCCCCTGCACTTTATTACATTCAAGAGACAAAATTATACCAAATTATGTTTTAAGAAATTGCCTTAAAGGTGTCTTATCTATCTCATTTACAGCGAGGAAAGAGACGGCACTAGGTTTTTATACCCATGTGCCAGGGCAGAAGGAATTTCAACGAGTCCAAAGGAATGGCAACCTTGGATCCACTAATTTCAAAGTGTTGACATTTTACAGAAAAGTATAAACTCTTATCAGATACACAGACTGAAGCACAGCAAGGATAGGTGGGAAAATATAGAGCAGATCCCAGAAACTGTGACTCTCGGTCTTCCACATTAAAGGAGAAAATACTACAGCAATTGGTTACAGAACAACCAACTCACACTCGTGTGTGTATAGATGCTTACACACACAAATAGTTAATTTTCAGTTATAGATACTATAAACGTTCATTTATTTTTTAATTCAAAATGTGAATGCCCTCCCCCCAATTTTCCCAATTAATTTTTAATACTAAAAAAAAAGTAGTTTTTTTTTTCAATTCCTAACCATCTTGCCTCTCTTTTTCTATTGTTCCAGTGGACAGCATCGAAAAGCAACAGACAATAGGTCCACAGATACAGAAATAAAAAGTTACTGAAAAAAAAATAAAAGTTTTATTCTATGGTTTTTGTGATT